GGTAGCGGGATCGATGCCCGCATTCTCCAAGTGTTTTTGAATGTAGAAACTTGTTTGTTTTAGGCCCCATTCACACTGAGCGACATGAAAATCGCACGATTTTGAGCGATATTGCGCAACAAGTGATATTGAGCGACTTTTTCCTATTGGGCTGTATGCAATCAGGAGCAATATCGCTCGAAAAAAGGGCCATGTAGGAGCGACAAGCTACCAGCGACGAGCTACAAGCGATATTGAGCAACGAGATGTGAACAGCTCCATTGAAATGGATTGGAGAAGCTACATAGAGCGATATCGTGTGGAAATATGAGCGATATCGCTGCAAAAATCGCTCGATAAATCGCTCATTGTGAATGGGGCCTAAGATGCTGCAGTTGCTAAAACTCAAAGTGTATCTAAACCCTAAAAAATAAATTATTTGGTTCCTTTTGGAACACACTATTGAGAGTTTTTGTTTTTTGTTGTATCTGTTTTATACACTGAGTGGCCAGATTATTGTGACCACCCCATCAGTACTTCGTTGGGCCGCCTCGTGACTCCACGAGATGATGAAAGGTGATGCGAGGAATCTGACACGGCACTGTTGCCCTTCTGTTGTCTTGTACCAGTCTTGCCCCTCCCCCGTTCTGCCCTAACATTGACTAGTCGCTGACGGCCACAATTCGCACGTTCAGACCCAGATTTTCAGCTGACAGTCCGGTCTTTAAACACTTTAACAATGAGCGTCTCTTGAACATTTAACGAATTCTGCTGTTTTGCTGATACTCGCTCCAACAATCATCCCACGTTCAAAGGCTGTTAAATCGCGTTGTTTCCCCGTATCTTCAGAAACAAATCACTTCTACTGTCGTGGTAAACAACCTGCTTCCCTATTTATAATGGTCTGGCCCTCTAGCAACTTCAGCGCCAAATTATAGCTAATCTGCCTACAAACGTCAGGTGGTCATAATAATCTGGCCACTCAGTGTATATAATAATCCGGACACTCAGCGTAAGCGCTAAAAAAAAACCCCTCATTGATTCTGCCAGAAGTCTTGTCAGCTGATATCGCCTTGTGTTCTCTGTGCGGCACTATTATTGATTACTAGACATGTGCACGGCAGAAAAAAATTGTTTTCTGATGAAACAAATGAGAACGAAAAACGTTTCCATTCGTCTCATCAAAGAAAACTGATATTGCTGCTGTTTCAGATTCGGAGTCAACGAGTTGTTTGAAAGAAAGTTTTCATACGTGACCAGCAGGCGTCTCCCTTCAGGCTTGGAAGCCTCTCAGGGTGTAGGGGAATTAGCTCAAATGGTAGAGCGCTCGCTTAGCATGTGAGAGGTAGCGGGATCGATGCCCGCATTCTCCAAGTCTTTTTGAATGTAGAAACTTGTTTGTTTAAAGGAGAACTATGAGGTGAGTGCTTTTCACTCACCTCATAGTTCTAGCCGACCTGTGACAATGAGACTGTCACAGGTCGGCTCAGTAGATCGGGAGGTGAGCGAACACATGCCGGCGTTCGCTCACCTCTCGATCCCGTCACGGCTCTTTGCCGTGACAGTGGGAGGGACTGGATTCCCCCCTCCCCGCTCCGATCCGCCAGCGCTGACTGGCGGAACGGACGGGGGAGGGGCGGGTACAGCTGGCTCTGCCTCTAGATAGGCAGAGCCAGCTGTCACTCACGCAGCTGGGCGGATCCCGTCATCTACGTCGGGATCCGCTCCGGCTGCTCCGTACAAACCCACAGTTATATTTTAGCTGTTTTTTTGGGGGAAGTTTACTAGAAAAATTGTGCCTGTTGGGGATAATGCCCAGTATGTGTAGGAGACGGGTGCAGAGGGTATAACAGCGGGCAATATATGCAGGAGATGGGTGTGGAGGGTATAACAGAAGGCAATATATGTAGGAGAGAGGTGTGGAGGGTATAACAGCGGGCAATATATGTAGGAGAGGGGTGTAGTGGGTATAACAGCGGGCAATATATGCAGGAGATGGGTGTAGTGGGTATAACAGTCGGCAATATATGTAGGAGAGGGGTGTGGTGGGTATAACAGCGAGCAATATATGCAGGAGAGGGGTGTGGAGGGTATAACAGCGGGCAATATATGCAGGAGAGGGGTGTGGAGGGTATAACAGCGGGCAATATATGTAGGAGAGGGGTGTGGTGGGTATAACAGCGGGCAATATATGTAGGAGAGTGGTGTGGAGGGTATAACAGCGGGCAATATATGCAGGAGAGGGGTGTGGAGGGTATAACAGCGGGCAATATATGTAGGAGAGGGGTGTGGAGGGTATAACAGCGGGCAATATATGTAGGAGAGGGGTGTGGAGGGTATAACAGCGGGCAATATATGTAGGAGAGGGGTGTGGACCCCCCGTTAACCTTTTTTTTTGCTTCTCTGATCATTTATATGGATTTCAATGCGGCAAAGGGTAACACAGATTGATTTCTAATGGAAAGGTCGATGACACTCTCAGGTTTCCTCACTGCAGCATCTTACAATTGAGTTGTTTGCTTATTGAAAAACACATTGGAGAATGCGCGCATCGATCCCGCTACCTCTCGCATGCTAAGGCCCCGTTCACACTGAGCGATTTATCGCAGCGATAGCGCTCATATTTCCACGCGATATCGCTCTCTGTAGCTTCTCCAATCCATTTCAATGGAGCTGTTCACATCTCGTCGCTCAATAGCGCGCAATATCGCTCGCAGCTCCTACATGACCCTTTTTTCGAGCGATATTGCTCCTGATTGCGTACAGCCTAATAGGAAAAAATTGCGCGGCAAGTCGCTCAATATCGCTCGTCGCGCAATATCGCTCAAAATCGCGCGATTTTCATGTCGCTCAGTGTGAATGGGGCCTAAGGCCTGGTTCACACCTAGGCGTATTGCATATGCGCGTCTGTCGCACGTTTTTTTTAACCGCGATGCGCGGTACAAAAAAATTGCGGGTTTCCGAGGGCTACTTGGCTGTATCCCAATGGAAACGCGCAACAAAAACGGCCCAAAGTAGTACCTGTACCTTTTCAGGCGTGGGCCGTTTTGTAGCGCGTTAGGGACGGGCTGAAATACGCCGAGGTGTGAACGAGACCCATTGACTACAATGGGATTTAGATGTTTGAGCGTTTTGTAGAGCGTTCGTCGAGCGTAGAACGCGCTACAAAACGTTCAGGTGTGAACGAGGGCTTAGCGAGCGCTCTACCATCTGAGCTAATCCCCCTCAGCCCGTGCACTGCCTCGGCCATTGCTGTAATGGTTGCACAACCTGAGGCCCTAATATTGGATAAAACATTCTGATGATGAAACTGAAGTCATTTTTTTCTCCATTCCTATAAAGAAGAGGGGGGGGGGGGGGGGGAAAAGCCAGGTAGGAGTCGAACCTACAATCTTCTGATCCGTAGTCGGACGCGTTATCCATTGCGCCACTGGCCCTTAAGAGCTTGAGCAGAAATGTAAAAGGAATACTTTGCTGGGCAACGGACATTTGCGTGATCTGGATTCATTATTGCCAAAGAGGTTTGAGAGTTTAAAAGGAGAACTATGAGGGGGGAGGGGGGGGGGCGCTTTTCACTCACCTCATAGTGCTAGCCGACCTGTGACAATGAGACGGTCACAGGTCGGCTCAGTAGATCGGGAGGGGAGGGAACACATAACGGCGTTCGCTCACCTCTCGATCCTGTCACAGCTCTCTGCCGTGACAGGGGAGGGGCTGGATTCCCCGCTCCGATCCGCCAGCGCTGACTGGCGGAACGGACGGGGGAGGGGGCAGGTACAGCTGGCTCTGCCTCTAGATAGGCAGAGTCAGCTGTCACTCACGCAGCTGGGCGGATCCCGACGTCTAAGTCGGGATCTGCTCCGGCGTCTCAGTATATAGCTCGCGGTATATTGAGCTTAGGGTGACGGGAAGACGCTAGTTTGTGTCCTCCCGTTACCCTAAGGAGAACTATGAGGAAAAGCCTTAACCCCATAGTTCTCCTTTAATACTAGAGTCTCTCCCATCCTCTGGAACTCTTTACCCCAACCTGTCCGTCTATCTCTGACTACCTTTAGGAGATCCATTAAGACTCATCTCTTCAGGGAAGCCGATCCCACCTCAACCTAACCACTGAACCATCACATTCTCAAACAATTCAGCACCACACAGCTACCTCCTCATGTATCACCTCCCCCACCCTTTTAGATTGTAAGCCCTCAGGGGCAGAGCCCTCCTCACCATCTTGTCTTGTAATGTCTTCCTTATATTGTAAAGCGCTGAGCACACTGTTGGCGCTATATAAATCCTGTATAATAATAATACTGCTTTCACTTGTGCTATAGACTTCCCGCTCTCAGAGGTGGCCTACGGCTTCAGTATGGTGGTTGTAGTTGGGCAAGAGTAGGGATGAGCTTGGTGTTGGTGCAAATAATCCCCATAGTTCTCCTTAGGGTAACGGGATGACACAAACTAGCGTCTTCCCGTCACCCTAAGCTCAGTATACCGCGAGCTACAGCTCCCTATATACTGAGACGCCGCAGCTGAAGCAGATCCCGACAATTATGTCTGGATCCGCCCAGCTGCGTGAGTGACAGCTGGCTCTGGCGGATCGGGGAATCCAGCCCCTCCCCTGTCTAGGCAGAGAGCCGTGACAGGATCGAGAAGTGAGTGAACGCCGGTATGTGTTCGCTCACCTCCCGATCTACTGAGCCGACCTGTGACAGTCTCATTGTCACAGGTCGGCTAGAACTATGAGGTGAGTGAAAAGCACCCCCCCTCCCCCCTCATAGTTCTCCTTTAAGGGGTGTTACTGCGGGGTGGGGAATCTATCTGCTGCAACCGGGTTCACACCAAGCCCCAGCTCATCACTAGTCAAGAGGACTTTGCCGCCAGTGGATTGCACAGGAAGTGGCTGTTTTGAAACAGGAAATGAAGACAATTTTCTACACAAGATTTATTTTATACGGCTGATTAAAAACTGTGCGATGGCAAAGACTTCCATTCAGAGGACGGAACTATACCAAGCAGTCTATGGAGGCGCATCATTCAGATCCGACGCCGATCCCGCACGTTCCCCCTTCCTCTTCCAATTTTACGGTGATGACGTTAAAGCCGCCATCGCTTTCACAATTCCCGGTCACGCTCTTCACATCTGGTTCACCATTACGCTCTTTGGGAAGATCGGCGTTCTCCTGGGAGTGTAGGTCACCGGTGTGAGTTTTCTGGTGCTTCACCAGTGCCGCCCTCTTGGAATAACTGACTCCGCACTGAGAGCACGAGAAAGGTTTATCTCCCGTATGGAGCCTGCTGTGCTCTACAAGAGACGCCTTCCAGTTGAAGCCTTTCCCACACTCGGAGCACGAGAACGGTTTGTTCCCTGCGTGGGTGGCCTTGTGTCTCGCTAGGCCAGCGCTGGTGACGTAGCCCTGGCCACATTCTAAGCAAACAAATGGCTGCTGCTCATTGTGCACCTTCTTGTGCTTGTCAAGATGCGGCTTCTGGCTGAAGCCTTTCCCACATTCTGAGCAAGAGTACGGCTTCTCCCCGGAATGGATGCGCTCGTGCTTTACCAGGACCGAACGGACGCTGAAACATTTGCCGCATTCCGAACAGGAAAAGGGTTTCTCTCCAGAGTGAGTCCTGCTGTGTCTGGCGAGGTCAGACTTCTGTGTAAAAACTTTCCCACACTCCGAGCAGTTAAAAGCGCTCGACCCTTGGTGAATTTTTTCATGCTGTTTGAGCGAAGAGTACTGCACAAAACTTTTCCCGCACTCGGCACAGATGAACGGCTTCCTCTCGGTATGGGTGGTCTGGTGCCGTACAAGGTGTGCGTTATTTATGAAACTCTTCCCGCACTCGTTGCAGGTAAACATTTTCCGGCTCAGGTGCTTTCTCTCATGCTGCTTTAGATTGCACTCCCTGTAAAAGGAATTGCCGCATTCCGAACAGGAAAATAGTTTTGTCTCGGCATGGATGACCATGTGGTTGGTCAGCTCGGACTCTGTCAAGAAATTATTTCCGCAGTCTTTGCAAGAGAACTCCGTGACCTTGCTGTGAGTGCGTTCATCTTTTACCACATGGACCTGCTGGTTCAATCTGTTGCCGCAGGTAGAACAGTCAAACAGTTTTTCCCCGCTGTGAGTAACAAGAACGGTTTTCTCAGTGAAACATTTGCCACACTCGGTGCAAGGGTTAGGCTTCACTTCCGTGTGAGTCTGTTGGTGCTTCAACAGTATAGACATGTCACTAAAACTCTTCCCACACTCTGAGCACGAATATATCTGTTCTTCAGAATGAACCCGCAAGTGTTTGCTGAGTTCTGAATCGCATGTAAACACTTTGCCGCAATCTCTGCTCGGACAGTGTTTCTTCTCATGGACTTTACCGTGTTGCTTAAGAGTAGCCTCCAGGAGAAAACACTTCCCGCACTCAGACCACTTAAACGCTGCCTCTGGGTTATGAAGCATTTGATGCTTTTTCAGGTGCCTCTGGCGTGAGAAGCGCTTATCACATTCGGAACAAGCAAAGGGCTTTTCCCCACTGTGCGTCCTCTGATGCTGCTCTAGATTGGCCCTTTTATAAAAACCCTTCCCGCACTCGGGACAAGAAAGCAGTTTATCAGTGGAGTGGACTCTCTCGTGTTCTACCAACGACGACTTCCAGTGAAAGGTTTTTGGGCACTCGGAACACGCAAAGGGCTTTTCTCTAGTATGGACCCGAACGTGTTCCAAGAGCGAGGACTTCCACCTGAAGCGCTTCCCACACTCGGAACAGGAAAAAGGCTTATTGAGCGAGTGGGTCAGCTTATGACTAGCGAGGTCGTCTGCGGACGGGAAAGACGCCAAGCACTCCCAACAGAAGTAACGCTTCTCTTCTGAGTGAACTATTTTATGTTTGTCCAGATGGTTCTTCTGCCTAAAACACTTCCCGCACACCGGACAAGCAAACGGTCGCTCGCCTGTATGGATTCTGTAATGCTTAATGAGGATGGAGCTGGCGCTAAAACATTTCCCGCACACGCTGCAGGAAAAGGGTTTCTGTTCTGTGTGGGTTTGGACGTGTTTACAAAGGTCGGACTTTTGGCCGAAAACCATGCCGCAGTCGGCGCAGGAGAACGGCACCTCTCCCTCGTGGCTTCTCTTGTGCAGCAAAAATGTCGGGTACTGAGCGAAGCTTTTACCGCACTCCGAGCAAACAAACGGCTTTCTGTCCGTGTGAGTGATCTGATGACAGAGGAGGGCTACTCTGGTGCTAAAACCCTTCCCACATTTATGGCACACGGAAGGACTGGACACCGGGGAACGTTTCGGCTGATCCTCAGAATCTGACTGGTTACAAAACATCTTCTGGTTTCCCAATTGGGAGTGTGGTTGCTCCTGAATGGCAGCGGGCTGGCGGCCCAAAGGGTCCGGAGCGCCACTTGTATAAAGTGTCCCTGCATGGGGAGGGCTTTGCTGTGCGGTTATTTTGTGATGAGGCGTCAAACGCTGTTCTGATCCGAAAACAGAAGCTGCAAAAGAGAAAAAACAGACGATTAGCTGCGGCACAAAAATCAAATCATTTCTTCCAATGACTGATGATTATTAACCCTTTCGCTGCCAAGGCGATTTTTCCACGTTATAATTCACATATAAAAAGGAGAACTATGGTGTCAGGGCTTTTCCCCATAGTTCTCCTTAGGGTAACGGGAGGACACAAACTAGCGTCCTCCCGTCACACTAGGCTCAGTATACCGCGAGCTACAGCTCCCTATATACTGACAGTGCCGTAACGGGGACGGATCCCGACATTACTGTCAAGATCCACCCAGCTGCGTGAGTGACAGCTGGCTCTGCCTATCTAGAGGCAGAGAGAGCTGTACCCGCCCCCTCCCCCGTCCGTTCCGCCAGTCAGCGCTGGAGAATCGGGATGGGGGGAATCCCTGCAGGGAGATGAGTGAGCGAGTGACGTTATGCGTTCGCTCACCTCCCGATCTACTGAGCCGACCTGTGACAGTCTCATTGTCACAGGTCGGCTAGAACTATGAGGTGAGTGAAAAGCGCCCCCCTCATAGTTCTCCTTTAAGGCCTGAAAATGACATAAAACCCCCCAGAATTATATATGTCCTGAAAACAAAGACACCCCCCTATGTGATAGTATATTGGTGGTGACAGGTTCTCTGTAAGACAGTAGAAAGGCATCATGGCACACTCATCAGCCAGCATGTAAAACAACTTGTCTCACCACTAAGGACAATGACAGAGGTTTGGATACACGTCTTCTGCAGAGGATGTGAAAGCCGCACAGCCGCGCCAAGGCACCTCTTATAGTGCGGTCCTAACTCTAAACTATGAGAGTCTCCATCTTGGAGCACATGGGGGCAGAAGATATCAAATTGGGTGCAGGCTTGTCAGGAGGACGCCCCACCTCCTTAAAAGGCACAGAAACACATAAGGGATCCCGCACATCCCATTGGCAGCTGAGAAACCCCATGCGTCGCTGCACCAAATCGGTCAAGCAAAACAAATGACAAACGCACTCAACAATTTGTCACCAGTTATACAGTAAGGTGCACACGTGTCTACAGTTCTACTGTTTTACTGTTCAAAGCCCATTCCGTGTGCGCCTTACTGTATAACTGGTGACAAATTGTTGAGTGCGTTTGTCGTTTGTTTTGCTTGAGGTTCTCTGTAAGGTGACATAAGGGGTCTATTAGATCCTTTGTATCACCTTTGTGCTTCACATAAGCTATTCAAGTACAGATTGTGCTGGAGTCGCTTCTTCCTCCTTGGCTTTTGTAGCCGGGAAATGAGAGCTCAGAAGCCAGAAGTGATGCAATCAGCGTCGCTTCCGGCTCCATTCAGCGGGGAGGAGATCGTCAAATGGATTTCTACTGGTCTCTATCCTCGCTGCCAGCTGACACCCGAGAAGCCGTTCCTGGGTCTGCAGGAGGGGCAGCAGAGCCCACAAAGCAATTCGGGGGGGGGGGGGTCAGTTCACCTGCCCACGGAAGCGATCTGGGTGGCGGCTCAGCTACTAGAACCGCTTCCAGTGTAAATACGACAGTCGGCTTTACACAGGTAACCAGAGTCCTGGCGGCTTGTCTGTTTACAGCGCTGTAAGGCTGGGTTCCCACCTGGGCGGATTGAATATGCGCGTTTTCCGCACGTTTTTTTTTACCGCGATTCGCTGTAAAAAACCAGCGCGGCAAACGCGCGTTTCCGAGGGATACTTGGCTGTATCCCAATGGAACCGCCCGACCGAAACGCCCCAAAGAAGGATATGTGCTTCTTTGGGCGTAGGGCGGTTTCCCGCGCGTTCGTACTCGCGGAAAACCGCATAGATGGGAACCGTACAAATTGAAAATAATGGCATTTCCCTGCTTGAGCGGTTTTCCGCGAGTACGAAAGCGCGGAAAACCGCCTAGGTGGGAACCCAGCCTAAGGGATCCACGGTGCTAAACGCTGTGCAAACGTGTTGCAATTCATTCATTCAGTGACTTGGAACAAATATAGAGATCGGTAAGGATCAGACGCAACAAGGGAACCCTTCGTCTACATACATGTTCAGGGACAGGGACTGAAAGAACTGAAGAGGTGTGGCATGAAAGCCAGACGACTAGTATTTTCAGAAGGAGGGGCTTAATCAGACAACCTCCGTAATATATACATTAAGGCCTAAGCCCTCGTTCACACCTGAGCGCTTTTGTAGCGCGTTCTACTCTCGACGAACGCTCTACAAAACGCTCAAAAATATAAATCCCATTGGATTCAATGGTCTCGTTCACACCTTGCCGTATTTCCGCCCGTCCCTAACGCGCTACAAAACTGCCCACGCCTGAAAAGGTAAAAGGTACTACTTTGGGCCGTTTTTGTTGCGCGTTACAGCCAAGTAGCCTTCGGAAACGCGCGATTTTTTTTACCGCGAATCGCGGTAATAAAACGCGCGACAGACGCGCATATGCAATACGCCTAGGTGTGAACGAGACCCAAGGCCCCGTTCACATTGAGCGATTTATCGCGCGATTTTTGTAGCGATATCGCTCATATTTCCGCACTATATCGCTCTATGTAGCTTCACCAATACATTTCAATGTAGCTGTTCACATCTCGTCGCTCAATATCGCTTGTAGCTCGTCGCTGGTAGCTTGTCGCTTCTACATGACCCTTTTTTAGAGCGATTTTGAGCGATATTGCTCCTGATTGCATACAGCCCAATAGGAAGAAGTCGCGCGACACGTCGCTCAAAGTAGCGCGATTTCCATGTCGCTCAGTGTGAATGGGGTCTAAGGGTACAGAACACAATGGGGGGAATTTAGCAAATCTGGAGCGGCTGTGCATGGCGACCAATCAGCTTCTCCCTTTCATTTTCAAATCTTAACTGAACAAACTGAAGGGAGAAGCCGATTGGTTGCCGTGGGCAACTGCTCCGGATTTTGATAAATGCCCCTCAATAAATGCGATTCAAACCGAACTCTGGCAATGTACCTGAAGGAGCACCGAGGAAGCTCCATCTAGTTTTGGAACTATCCGCCCTCGTTATCCACGGCTCCGCCCCTTCCTCTATCATAGATATGATGTCCGGCTTTACAGGGAGGAAACCTGGCAAACAATAAAAAGAAAACAAGACAGTTTGTGGGAATAAATATTAAACACCCGAATATACGGAATGTATTGTTTAATGTATACATTTTATTTCGATTATTGGAGGAAACAAACATGGTCACCTTCATGAAAATAACCTCTTCTTGTATGGCTGCTTCATATCACAATGCCACTGTTCTATCAAAGATGGTGACTAGGTTGGAATGTGTGACCGGTGACGTTGTCACACATTTTAATGTAATCCCACCCAGTTTTTTGGCGGTGGAATGTGTGACCGGCTATTAAGTGAAGCATTCCAACGCTTTGTCAGCTGTTCCAGGGCAGATCGGCATCGCAGATGGTATGTGCGGGAGAACCGATCTGCCCTGGAACAGCTGATCGGTCCTCAAATGTGACTTCTATCCGACTCTGTGACTGCGGTGGAATGTGAGATCGCACTCAAAGTCGGATAGAAGTGGCATTTGAGGACCGATCAGCTGTTCCAGGGCAGATCGGTTCTCCTGCGCATACCATCTGCGATGCTGATCTGCCCTGACAAAGCGTTGGAATGCTTGACCTAATAGCCGGTCACACGTTCCAACCTAGTCACAAACTTTGATAGAACACCAGCACACACATTCTGCATTGTAGTTACATAGGAAGTCTGTCCTGCTATCATCATCCATGCGTAAGGCAGTTTTAAAAAGACACAAAACTCAGGAGTCTTAAAAGGAGAACTATGAGATGAGTGATTTCCACTCACCTCATAGTTCTAGCCGACCTGTGACAATGAGACTGTCACAGGTCGGCTCAGTAGATCGGGAGGTGAGCGAACACATACCGGCGTTCGCTCACCTCTCGATCCGCAGAGAGCCGTGACAGGGGAGGGGCTGGATTCCCCTCTCCCCGATCTGCCAGTGCTGACAGGCGGAACGGACGGGGGAGGGGGCGGGTACAGCTGGCTCTGCCTCTAGATAGGCAGAGCCAGCTGTCACTCACGCAGCTGGGCGGATCTCGACATCCAGGTCGGGATCCGCTCCGGCTGCGGCGTCTCAGTATATATTGAGCTTAGGGTGACGGGAGGACGCTAGTTTGTGTCCTCCCGTTACCCTAAGGAGAACTATGGGGAAAATCCCTGACCCCATAGTTCTCCTTTAATAACTAAAAAAAGGAGCCTGAATGTATTTGTAAGATTTTTAACAACAATGGGGGGAAGTTATCAAAACTGGAGCAGACCAATCTGGAGCAGTTGCCCATGGCAACCAATCAGCTTCTCTCTTCAGTTTGTTATGTTAAGCCTTGAAAATGAAAGAGAGAAGCTCATTGGTTACTATGGGCAACTGCTCCAGATTTTGTCTGCTCCAGTTTTGATACATTCCCCTCAACAATGTATCTTATTTGTGTATCACTCGGCTGTAGATCCTCCAATCATCTCTGACTTGGTGCTGACACTGTCCTTCCTTCTGGAGGGGGGCTACTTTTGTTCCCCGTGATCCCTGTGTGTGTTGTAAAGTTGTCACCGCTCCAAGCTCACTCTCGGGATGGACTACAATCTCATGTTCAGTTTACTAATTTGTATTGAGATTGTAGTCCATCACAGGAGTGAGCTTGGAGTGGTGACTACTTTACAACACACACAGGGACCATGGGGAACAGAAGTAGCCCCCCTCCAGAAGGAAGGACAGTGTCGGCACCAATTCAGAGATGATTGGAGGATCTACAGCCGAGTGATACACAAATAAGATGCATTGTTGTTCAGAGTTAAGGGACTGGAATGTATT